GGGGCACGAGCTGAGGCTTCGTTCTAGCTCCATCCTCCTTCGCCTCCACCGCGTGGAAGACTCAGAAAGGGCATAGTTAGCCCTTTTAGGGGCCTGATGGGTTCGACGGAATTCTTGTCAGGATTCTCAAGAGCGAAATAAATTGAAAGCGGCTCAGTCAGCCGCCATCTTTGAGCGGGGCGTCTGGGTCCGCCTCTTGTCTCAAAGGGAGGGGCAGGAGACCTGGTTGCTATGCAACGCGTACGCTGCCCTTGTTTTCGTTTTTGTGTTCTGTTTCCTTTGTTTTCTTGTTTTTTGTTTTCGAAACGGGAGTCTCGCCCTGTCGCCCAGGCTGAAGTGCAGTGGCGCGATCTCGGCTCACTACAACCTCCGCCTCCCGGGTTCAAGCGATTCTCCTGCCTCAGCCTTCCGAGTAGCTGGGATTACAGGTGCCCGCCACCAGGCTCCGCTAATTTTTGTATTTTTAGTAGAGAAAGGGTTTCACCATGTGGGCCAGGCTGTTCTCGAACTCCTGACCTCAAGTGATTCGCCCGCCTTGGATTCCCAAAGTGCTAAGATTACAGTCCTGAGCCACAGCGCCGGGACCTCTGCCCTTGTTTTCTAACCGTTAGATTAAGTTTCTGATTCTGTTCTTTCGGGCGGGCGGACTGGGGGAGGGAGGCGAGAAGGATCCAATCACATCGGCGGAAACGAGGTTACTAGGCAACGCTTTAAGGTCGTCCTCAACTTGGAAGGGAGGGCAGTTGTTTTCCCCCTGAAAAGAAGCCGAACACCAACCCAAGTGTGGGTTGCTTAGCAACACCTGAGCGTTGTTTTCCGGGAGAGGAGCCAGAAACTGGCCTAGAACATAAATACATTCCAGGTAGATTAAAAATGTAAGTGCGACAAATGAAACTCGAAAACTATCTGAAGGAAAAAAATCTTAATGACTGCCATGGAGTTTCTTAGCACTACAGCAAAGTCAGAAAACGTAGTCTTTATTAATTTTTCCCAAAAGACTGCATAAACCAAGTTGAAAAATACACTACGAACTGGAAAAATCTGACGTGTTTGTTGACAGAAATGTGCTACACAAATCTTATTGATGAATAATATAGAAAAATAGAAACACTGCATTACTATTATCTTTTTAATTTTAATTTTTATTTTTTGAGACAGGGTCTCTTTCTGTTGTGCAGGTTGGAGTGCAGTGGCCTAATCTTGGCTCACGGCAGCCTCTACTGCTCGCACTGGAGCCACTCTTCTGCCTGTAGAGCAGCTGGGACCACAGCCGCGCACCACCACTCCCAGCTAATTTTTAATTTTTTTTTTTTTTTTTTTTTTTT